CTGGGGCAGGGTAATGGGCAGTTGCAGGCACCTTGTCTCATCTTCTTTTCACTGCTTGCCAGCGGGGGTTCTTCCTAGTGACCATTGCAGCTGTCTTCCTTCCCTGAGCCCTCATCCTTCTGAGCCACAAAAACCCTGCTCTTAAAAGGCCCTTGCCCACAGCCTTCTCCCAGTAACAGGGCAAGGGTTCTCTGTTACATGGGGGTCAAATTTTGCTGCACCATTAATGCTGGTTGGCAATGAGCTTCAGGGATTTTGAGAGGTGGCTGTGGTGGTGTCTTGCAATGTGTGCTTTGTGTGGCCTTGGCTGTTTGTATCTTGGGTGTCACCACTGCATGGCTCAGAGTTAGTTTAAAATGCATGGGCAAAGTTTTCATGGTTCAAAAGGCAGCAAGAGTTACTCTGATGTTAAAAAAAATCTTCAGGTTGCTACTGATGTGAAAAGGCCTTTCTAGGATTCATTGGGACAGAAATGATAAGGTATTCAGAATGAAATCTTAAAAAAATAAATGTCTCCTGACTTTCTGCTTTTATCCCCTGCCTTCCTAAATTGTAGCATGTAATAATATATTAAGAGACCCATATGAGGCTTGGTACTGGATACCTGCATTTCTGAATCAAGGGATTCTTCACTGAATCTCAGCATGGTTAGAAGCTGAGCATGCAAAATGGCAGACAGGCCAACAGGCTGTGGCACTCACACCGGAAGGGCAGTCCACTGAGAAAAAGACTGTGGCAGGGTCAAGGGTCACAGTGTTGGACATTTGGGTACACAGGGGTGGGCAAAATGGTGGATCCGGCTGGCAGCCTGACTCCATTTTCCAGAAACCCCTGTCTGCATTGCTATGGCTGGTTTCCAAGGAGACCCCAGTAGCAACGGCATCATGACAGTGCAGGGCCAGGGTTCCCATGGAGACTGGCCCCAGCAGCAGGGAGCTACTCCAGGGCTGAGGCTGGGATCTTGCAGTGGTGACAGTGTGGTCTGGAACCAGGGCAGAGCTGTGATCCACTGCCTGTACGCCCTTGCCTGGGGCATGCAGGCAGCAGATTGCAGCTCTGCCTTGGCTGTGGACCACACTGTCACAGCCACAAGATCCCAGCCCCAGAGCAGCTCCCTGCCCAACCATCTGCCCTGCCAGCGCTGCCAGGGCCAGTCTCTATGGAAAGCCTGGCCCTGTGCTGTAACCACGCCACTGCTGCTGGGGCCTCCATGGAAACTGGCTGCAGCAACGTGGGCAGGGGCTGCTGGGGAAATGGAGTCTGCCGCAGGTCTGATCCGGCTTGCAGGCTGGACTTTGCCTGTCCCTGGACTAAGAGCAGGCAAAGGGAGACTGTAGCATGAAAGGGAAGGGAGAAGGACTTGGAATAGTTACTTCCTTACATCCACCATGAATGCAGCACCCACCATAAGACTACAAATAAATGCCAACTTGGCCTGCATTAGCAATCATTTGTGATACAAGCAGACTTACCATTCCCAGTTTTGTGGCTGGGATCCTGACTATTCTCAGGGGCTGCAGGGCACCTGGCAGTGGTGATGGGGAGCCTGTCAGGCTGGTCTGGGGTCTCAGCCAGGCTCCCACAAAGCAAAAAGCTCCTGGTTGTCTGGTAGAAGAAGTCACTGGTCCTGGCATCCTCAGTCTTGTAGGCTGTCACCTATGTCTGACATGAAATGAGGTCCTAGGCCCCTACCAAAGCCTTGTCCATCTTGAAAGTATGGACACATTGGGTAAAGTGCTGCCAGAACTGCTATATCTGTCTATACCCCACCAGCAGGTCACCTTCAAGTCCTTTGTCTTAATACATAATGCCCTCCATGTGGCCACTGCCATGGCAATGGTATCATAAATGTATTGGTCTCTGTAAAGCTCCTCCATTTTCACCTCTCTCTAGGTGGCAGTAAGGGCTAGGGCCCCTGCCTCTGTCTAGTTACAAACTTGGCAAGCAGGCCTGGCTTGAAGATAGCAGGTATAATATGCAGGCATGTTAGCAAGGTGTCAACACTAGTGCCTTCGACCCCCCAGGGGCAGAAAAGGGGCAGGCACTGCTATAGAAGCAGGGGTTTTGGATGCTTATCCAAAACCAATAAGCCCCCAAGAACCTCCCCACCTGCCCCTCTGTCTTACGTGCTGCTCAGTGCTGGGGAGGCTGCCACTCCTCAGGTGCCATCAGAGAAGGCCTGGTAGCTTGGCTTCTTCAGGCACGGAGAAAAACAGCTGCCTGCCTAAATGCCTCCATAAAGGAGGCATAAATGCAGAGCTGTCATTTATATGTATTCCTTCCAGGTGATGAGCATCTCCATTTCTTCTCTCACTTGATGTTGCCCATTTTGAGTAGTGGCCCCTAGGGAGGAGGCAGGATTCTTTCCTTCTCATCCACCAAAGGAGGTGGCAAATGCATTTTGAAAGCGGGGGGGCATGTCCTCTCCATCCTGTCTCCCTTGGCCAAATGTGCCCCCCCACCCCCGCCACTTGACTGGTCTGACATTTAAAGCTCTCCCTCCCAGACTGGAGCTGCAAACCCAAGGTTGAGAACAGGGGTTGGTGGATGGTCCTGAGGGAGTCTGAGAGCAGCCACTGCTGACAGCCCAGTAAATATGAAAAAAACACCATCCCAGGGGGGCGACCTCCCCCAAGACAATCCCCTCCCCACACTCCTGATTTTTAAGGCCTTGTCTACACTGCTGAGGCAGCATGGAGAAATCCAACCACACTCGAAACATGGAAGGTCACCAATAATTCCACTCCTTGGCCTTTCCCAGGCCCACCAGACACCAAAGACTGGGGCAGAGGCCTTTGGGATGAGTCTGGAGCAGCATTACCAGTGTGCTTATGGGTGTAGGCATGCTTGGGCCCCTCCATGCCAGGACATGTGGCTACCATGGTGTAGACAAGTCTGGGGATTTTCCAGCCTGGGGTTTTTCCCTGGCATCTGCTCACCCAATAGCAGAAAGGTCCACTCTGCCTGCCCCACACCCACGGGGTACCCTGCTGTCCCCAGCTCTCTGGGAAGACTTTTCCTCCTGGGCACCACCTTTCATCCATTTCTTCCCCCCACTAAAAGGGCTACATCTGCTGTCCATAGCATCCCCCTGACATCTGCTGTCCATTGCATCCCCTGCACAGTCAATAACCTGCAGCCTCTGTCACAACATAGGGCCTTGCTGTAACCCTGATAGGTGATCAGGACCAGGAGGTGAAGTCCAGCCCTCTGGGAGTTACTGGGCTGATATGGGGCTGGAAGGTAGGCCCTGCTGCCTGCTCACACAGCAAAGCCCCAGGGAGTGCCCAGGGGGAGCAGGACAGCAGCAGCCTTTGGTGACCAGAGCACTGCACTACAGACACTACCTGATCTAGGCTAGACAGTGGGGCAGTGCTAACAATTCCTACTTGCCTGGTGAAAAGTGCTCAAAAGAGGCTTCCAGGTTTGACAACACTTCAAAGATGCCTTAACTCCAGGGGAGCCCTGGAGAGTCACCCAGAGCACTGTAGGCTCCCCCCAGTGTTGCATCAACACATGCATCCTTTATCAGAACTAAACCCACCTCTTCTCCTGGGCTGTGCTGGGATGTTCTGGAGGAGCAGAAAAAGCGCAAGTCATTCATGCTGTATGCACAGTGCCTGTGCTTGCAAGGAAAGGGCATCCAGAGGGCACTGCACAGGACACTGCAGGCTGGTATCTGTCCCTTCAGGAGGGGCTGTCCAACTTTGGAGCATCTGGGGCCACATGCTGCACCCACGTGGGCCACAGACCCCACAGGATGCCTGCAACATGGGTCCACTGCCATCCCACCAGCACACCCCTCTCCATAAGAAGGGGAAGGAGGAGAAGGGGGAGCCCAGAGACCTTGGTGGCGGCAGCAGCAGCTGGAGCAGTTGTGGGAGTGGTGCCCAGGTGGGAGTCCATGGGCCACAAATTAACTCCTTGTGGGCATGTGGCCTGCAGGCTGTGAGATAGATAGCCCAGTCTTCAGGTGTCTCCATTTGGTCTGGTCTCAGGGCTAGTGCTTTGTAGCCACAGCAAGCCACGCTTCCAGCCTGTCAGATAGCTAACAGCTACAAATAAAGCCTTGGAGCACAGCTGCAGCTGCAAGACAAGTCAGTGCTGCATTCCAGCATTAAGCAGGTCCAAAGCCTGCTGCAGTGGGCGGCTGCATACAGCTCTGTCTCTTTCCAAACCAGGGCTCTTGTCTCCCATGACTTGGGGCAGGGAGGTAGTCCAGGACTGAAACTGGGGTCAGCCCCTGTGCTGGGAAGGGCATTAGGCTCTTCCTCTACTTGTGTCTGGCTGGCACTGTGCAATTTGCCAGACTGGCAAGGACTACAGGAGGTGGGAGGAGGGAAGTCTGCCTTCCTCTGTAATGTAGGGCCTGGCTCATCGTCTAAGACTCCAAGTCATCTAGGCATGATTACATTCCCTGCTAGGCAGAGGCCCAAGGCATCAACAACACCTTGGTCTCTCCTACTCTCCTCCTGGGACCCCCTGCACACTTGGAACCCTTTGGTTCTTACACAAAGCTCCTTATTTGTTATGGGGTGTCAGGCCAGTGCTCCACAATGGATGTTCTTGTTTATTCACCAAGACTTAAGACCAATTATGTTGTTACTAGTGATGGCAGGGGATTGGACATGAAGGATCAGGTGGACTCTTGCACTGCTTTGCATACATGCATTTCATAAGCACCTGAATGCAGTGGGCAGCCCCAGGGACTTGATCAGAGAACAGCGGAAAGATCAGCTTGGGGAAGGGAGGGAACCAGGTTCCTTGTAAAGTGAAAGGCAGAGAAAAACAGCACTGGGATTGTGCCCTTGTCTACTTCTTTATTACTGAGGATGAAGGGCTGAAAGGTGGGGATCTCTTTTCAGACGTTCTCTTTTTGCTTGCTTTTTTACCTTAGCTATCCATGTCAAGTGTAGAGGCAGGGTGAGCAGAGCACAGGGCAGAATACTGCCATCCCAAGAGAGTAACCAAGAAGGAAATTTTATTTGCACTGTTTGAAATTTGGTTTTGTTTGCATCTGTTTATTAAAGATCTCCACGCCACAGAGACGGCATTGGCACTGGGGCTTAGGTCTCAGTGCTGCCTCCCCAGTGAGGTCCTTTAACCAAACCAGACACCCTAGAGTCTATATTCCCAAGGTGAAAAATGAACAGACAATACTCATTTAGAAACCTCCACGCCTTTCAAATCTACTGCATCCAACAGAAGATAGTAAAACTAAGGGCATCTGGCCAGTTATATTAAAACAATCTTTTGCAGACCCTGTAAGATTTTTCAGCTTTCCTCCCTTCCTCTCTACCTGCTGCAGGGTAATTAAGCTGAATGAAATATCTGCAAAGTCACCCCTGGAGAAGCCAGGCCCAGCTTTCATTATCTTGCTCAGAGACTACACCAACAAAAATAGAAAGTCTAGTGTTTTGGGTTGGTTTTTTTTTTGCCACCCCCAGGTTCTTGCTTTGCTGAGAGACTAGCACATTTGGGGATGAGTGACAAGGTGAAAAATTTTCTGTATTTCTTTTAAAATAGCTAACTGAACATAGTGCTGGGGAAAAGCAGCCTACATTGCCGACCCTGAGGGGGTGGGGTAGTCTTGACTAGGTAGAAGCTAATCAGGTTTCCCACGCATGCCATTTCCCACTCCTGACCCAGAGAGCTCCACTGCTACAGTTCATCCAGTCCTCAACCTCTCAGGGCCCATTAATATGATGGGTGTTCCTAGGATGCAGGCACCTGTCTATAGTGGCCGGATTAAAACCACCAACCCAGTTCTTGTAACATCTCTAATCAAATGGCTGCAGTTTTCAGTTGCCCCTGGTTTAGCCCAGATCTGAATGAGCAACGAAGGCAGGTACATGCTTTATGTATTTTATTCTCAGCCCCCGGAACAACCTATGTCCCTATTCTTACCGCTGGACTAGGACAGCCTCCTTTGCATCTACACGAAAGTGGGTGTCAGATCCTCTTTGAAGTTCACAACAGGTTGAGACCTGCTGTAGAGCTTTGTCCGGAGGGCGAGGGGCTCGCCTGGCTCTGGGTCTGCGTCAGTGACAGAACTATCACTGGAGACACAAGGGTCTTGGAAGCAGATTTCACAGTAAGGCCTGTGGCAGCAGTGAAACACCTCCTCAGAGCTGCTGCTGGAGTCAGAGTCTGGGTAGCAGTACAAGGAGGGCATGAGAGGCCGTCGCAGCTCCCGCAGAGCATCCTCCTCCTGCAGCAGGGTGTGGAGCGGATGTCGCAGAGTACTGCAGTTCTTTGCTTGGTCAAGCCCCGGGTGTTTGCTGGAAACATGGTTGTGCTGCTCAGGCTGGTCCTGGGCATTGTCAGCTGGTGAGGAGGATGACGTCTGACCAAGGCACCTTCCATCACTGTGGTCACCTGCTTTGGCCTGAGGCACACATGCAACCTCATCACAGCCTTGCCCACCAGCTGCCCTGCCGACAGTCTGGTTCACGACACACCAAACTAGAGGAGAAGCGGAGCCAGGATAACTCGGGGGAGGGGAATGGAGCGGTATTCTCCTTCTCTGCCAGGTCATGTAAGGGCTTAGGTTCTTTTCCTGGGACCTCCACACAGACCTCCTTTCCTGCTGGGCACTGTGCCTGGCCTGTCTGGACCCCCAGGGTGAGGTCTGGGCACCAGCCATGCTACCTAGGCTCAGCTCTTGCAAGATTTCCTGCAGCTTTTCACTGCTCACATAGTTGAATCTCAAGGGCTGCTCCTTCATCATTGCTGAGCTCTCTGCCTGCTCTGCTCCCTCACCCACAGCTGCAGGGCTCTGGCTCCGTGGCCCTAATAAACTGCCTGAAATTTTCCTGCTGCTTTGAGGAACCCATTTCTCTTGGAGCCTGTTAGAGTTATATTCAGAGATTCCCGCAGAGTCATAGGGTTGTATCAGAGAGCAAGCGGGATCCTCTGGCGGGGTGCAGTGGTGGCTTGTATAACTGTTACGGTCCTGGGTGTCCCCAGCACCATCTTCTTTGCTAAGAGATACTGGGCTGCACTGTGCATGTGGAGGACTGGAACACTGCCAAGAGCCTGCCTCCTGGCCAAGGGGTATATGGTCTCCCAGGGGCTCTTCAGCACCCATGTCACAGCCACTAGGTTTAACATGGTGATTGGTGTTCTGGAGTGAAAGGGAGAGGGATGTGGAAGGAAGAGCTGGGTGCATGGGGTCGTAGCCACAGTCTGCAGACATCAGCTTCATCAGCTTCTCCTTAGCATTGTTCACTTGCTCCTGAAGGCTTTCGATCACAGCATTTTTCTGTTACCAAACAAGCAAGCATGTCAGGTACACTGCAGAAAACAATGCCGATACTACACTAAGGCAGGGGATTCCAAGGAAAAGCAAGTCAGGAAGCCAGGGCCTGGGCAGAGAAAATGTTTACCTGGATGCAACCTAGCATTACACTAGTATAAAAAAGTAGCAGACAGATAACACACACCCATAAACCAGGGGAGCTTCACCCAATCTGGTGGACAACTACCCTCGAAAGAATGGGGGGTAAAACTCCACAGCATAAGATACATTGGTTTAGCTTCATCTGTCCACAGCCATCCAGGGATAACTATTTGATAAAGGCAAACAGACTGCTACTTTCTTCCCTGCCATCTCCTGGCAAGCATCATAATAGCCATCCACTGAGCCATGCCCTCATCAATATACAAATTATACTGGAGTATGTTCATGTCTGTCCAAGCCTTGAGTCTCTCTTTTCCAGAGGAAGTGGCAATCTTTCAGATAGTTTAAAAGAAGTGAGAGGTTCTTACAGATATATAAGTGGGAAGTTCAGATAACAGCATGCAGTTGACAGAAAATGACCCCTGGGGGCCTGGTGACTGGTAAGTATAAAGGTATGCTGCAGTGTAACACTGCTTTTGCTTATGCAGACCAGAGACTTGAGACACACCCAGGAAAAGCCTCACACAGAACCACCCTCTTGCTTCCAAAATTCAGAGCCCAGGGAGTTTCACCTGCTCCCTAAAGGCTCTTGAGAAGGTCCGCATAGTCTGGAAAAGCAGAAGGGCAGGCCTTTAAACATGGCCCTGAAGCTCATTCAGCCTGTTTCCTTTTGTATTCCCTTGGCTGCTCCTAGTGTGAATGTTTGAGAGATTACAGTTGTGCCAGTTACACAGGAATACACTGCTTCTCTAAGGACCCTAGCACATATTCACTGAAATCTAATGAGATCTAATTCCCAGTTCCAACAATCAGGCCTCCTGCCCAGGGCTTGGACCGCCCCTGGACCTGCTATGCCTCACATACATGGCAGGAGGCATGATTTTGGGATCAGGGATCAGATACCAATCATGCTCTTTCTACTTGCCAGTGCAGGGGAAGCCCAGGCTCATGATCCCAGGCTCCTCCTGCACCAGCAAGATGAAAGCCAGGTACCCACAGCCCAGCATAACCCAGAGCAGTCTGAGCCCCAGAGCGGTTCAAGACGCTGGACTGCCCTGCAGCTGGGGCCAACCACTGTCAGCACTGGCTTTGTGGCAGCCATGGACATGCCTCACATTCAGTTTAAGGTGCTGTACAAACCAGCCATAAAATGATCCACGTTATATATGGAACATTTTTATGGCTGGTTTACCATTTTATGGAGCCTTAAATCAGGGGCACCTTCATCATTTACACTGTGATTACCATGTTAAACATGGCATAAATGTAATGAATAGAGGGGCCCTAAAAGCCAGAGCATTTCTGCATGTACAGTTTGGAGTTGCAGGAGCAACAGCCCTGCTGCTGACAAGATGCTCTCCACTGAACATATTGCACCATGGGCTGTGAGAATTCAGGCCATATTGATCCATGTGCCTCATTTTATGCCCCGAGTGTGATATATTGACAAGATGATGTTTAAAAAAACCCCAATTCCTTTCCACAAGCCAGCTCTGGAAGGACGCCACCGCCCTGGGAAACGACCATTGTGAGCTGTATGTAACATGGGTCTTTCAAACCTACAAATCCTTCAGCAGACAAAGGGAGAGGGGGGAGCATAGCAGAGGGAGGACAGCAGCTGCTGGCCTCTGAGACCTAGGCAGATGAGAGACGGAGGCTGCTCTTTCTACCATTATAAGCTGCCCGAGAGAGCATGTTACCTCTGTAAGCAGCCGCCTCATAGAGTTCTTTTCCCCAATCAGCTGGTATATCTGCTCTTCACTGTACATGGAGAGGAAGCTCTTGCTGGGGCTGTTAAAATACTTTGCCATGTGGTTAATGGTTTGGCTCTCTTCTTCTTCAAAGGATTTCCAGTGTCTGAGCTGTTGAGCACAAGGAGGCCATTATGTACGTGACATGTATAGATTATACAAACACAGAGAGAGACAGACGGACAGATGCCAAAAAAGACAGAGACCAAGGGACAGCAATGGAGACAAAGGAAGGATGTGACAGGCAAGCAGAGAGAGAAAGGGGCAAACTCACCCACCCCCACCCATCACACTGCTATTCCCCTCCTCTACATAACCTGCTGGGGACAATGCTGACACCACAGTTCAGAGATGCTGTGTTGCTTGGACTGCCCCATACTCATGTATCTGAACCAGGGGTAGGCAATGTTTTTTGGCGGGAGTGCCGAAAACAACACAATGTCTACCTTGGAAGGTGCTGGAGTGCTGACATGCCGGAGCCCAGAGCAGTTGTTTGCAGCCTCCTGGCTACAGCCGGCCCACGGAGCCCTATCTCCTTGCAGCAGCTGCTTAGAGCCCGGGCTGGCGGTGGTGTGCCGAGCAAAATGGCCTTGCGTGCCATGCTTGCTGACCCCTGATCTGGAGCAAAGCCTCACACTGCTGAGAGAGACAGTTAGAGCCTGCATATGCTACAACCTCCAACCATGTGGTAAAACAGGCCTCCTCTGAGTCAGTAGCAGAAAAAGGCAGCGTCTCTCTGTCTCTCTTGCTCATGCACGCATGCGTGCGCACACGCACACACGCTTTTTTACTTCTGAATCATAAGTGACAGGCTGAAAGCCAACAGTGTTTCACCTCTGCCTTTTTACTGGTGTCAGAACAAACACCATAAGAATAAATGCTGCCATCCTGGGTCAGTCCACAAGTCCCTGTAGCCCAGCATCCTCTCATGATTGCACAGGGTGGATGCTAAGGGGAAGAGCATGTATACAAGGCCTGTTCACTCAGCTGTCCCCTGCCTCTTAGGGGGCACATCGAAACTCCAACCATTCACTCATCACTGATGAGCAATGCAACAGCAAACCCATTAGGAAAAGCAAGCTGAATAAAAACCAAAAGGGAATTAAAAAGTTTGAGCGGAATAAAATGCTTGTGCATCCAGGTCAACCACAGAGAAAGTGAGCACGGACATAGTATATGATGCACTGCCCAGGACAGTTACAGCACATGAAATCAGCTCCTCCTTTGCTACCCTGAAATGTTTTATTATTTGATGGGCTCCAACAACAGGGCAGACATTTTCAGAGACGGTGGGTATGCTCCAGGTCCCAAAGACCTTAATCTCACTGAGGACTTGGTAATTGTACTGCAGCAACTGGAATGGCAGGGGGACTGCAGGGCAGCAGTGAGGGGCACTGGCAGAGCTGAGTGGGGAGCCCAGGGCTGAGACAGCAAGGTGGAGGGAGGTGAGGGGGTGGTGCAGGGCAGGAGGGAGGGCATCAGTGGATAAAGAGCCATTCTTTTCTACACCCAGTGCCATAGCAATGAAGTTTGGTGCCTGGGGCAAGCCCGCAGTGGCAGCCCATTCTCATCCTTCACACAGATCCGGGGGGCACAAGCCCCTGTGCTTTCCCAGGAGTGCATGCAGCAGCGGGATCCGCCTTTTCCCCATCTTCGTGCTCTCCCAAACAAGTCATTTGCAGATCCATCTCGCACCCTACCCAGGCTGAGCAGCACCTGTTGGTGCCCCTTCACTTTGGCGTCTGGGGCAGTCATCCCATACACCCCCACTTTGCTGTGGCATTGTCTACACCTGACTGAAAGTTATCTCCATTCTGCTTCTAGCCCCTGCCTCATTTCCTGGGGCCCTAAAACTCCCTCATGCACAAATATCAAACCAAATCATCAACCCTTTCCTCTGGTCCCTCCAATTCTACCAGCAGAGGTGTCTGATTCCTTATCACTGACTGCAGCCAGCATGGCAGTTTTCTCCTGGAAACGCTGAAAGTAAAGAGCAGAGACGTCCTGACAACACCCTCCCCCATCCCCACTGGGGAGCTGAGCTTTCCACTCTGAGCTGGAAAAGGGCAGACCTCCCAGGGGACCACAGCCTCCACTGTCAGCCCTGGAGCCTCCGAGCTTGATGAGTCTGTCTATACTGCAGCACCCGGGGCTCAGCCAGTGCGAGAGGCTTGCTGTGAGATGGAAGGAGGAAGGAATGGAGGGAGGCTGATGGTCTCAGCACTGTGATGAAGGTCTGGAATAAGAAGCTGAAGAGAATGGCTACCCTAGGCACCAAGAGGAAGAGGCTTGCTGCCCTAGGCACCAAGCCCAGAGTGCAGGAGTGGCACAGGCCCTGGGCACTGGCAGACACTGTTGGCATGGCACCTCCTATGGCTGCTGGCAGTGATCTGTCCCAGTGTGATCCCCCAAGGGCTGTCCCTCCCCTCTATGCATGTCAGGGGAGGACAGCAAAGCACTAGTAGCAGTGGAGAAGGCAGAGCCTGGCTGCTAGCAGAGCTGAGAGGACAGCAGGTGGCTACTGCAAAGTCTCTCCACCCTCATCTGCCTGGTCCTCCCCTCCCCCTAGCTTGGCTGGTGACTCCTTAAGCACCTGACACAGCCTGAGAGGAGCATGCAGGGAGGTGGCTCCCTGCCTGGCAGAGCAAAGGAGGGTAGTGGAGGCTTTAGTTACCAGACCACACAAGCAGTGGCAGAGCCACAGAGGGAAAGGAGATGGGCAAAGCCACCAGAGCCATGGGGCAAGTGGAGAAGGGAAGGGGAGAAGCTGCTGGAGTCTGGGGCTGCGAGAGACAAAAGCACTGAAGACGGTGCAGTTTATGTGTGTGGAGCTACTGGGAAGGGGTGCATAAATAGATGGTGACTTGGGGCACACTGGAGATTTTGAGAGAGCAGCAAGAAGGGCTGGAAAAGGGCTGGGGCCTTGGAGATGTGGATGGGACTCCCCAGCTATCACAAGTACCTGGGTTCCCTGGAACCAGGCCTTCAAAGCTCTGCCAGAGCCAGCTCCGCTCTTCCACTGCTGGGTTGTGTTGGTAGAAAAGCATGCAAAAAACATTGCTGGCAGGGGTGGGGGAAGAAGGATTGCACTGGTTTCCATTTGGCAGGATATGAAATGGACTCACCTCCTGCTGTTATTCTGGGATGCTTTAAATCAACATTGAAGCAAACGTAACAATTTTCAAAACTGCATCAACACTGTTCGCTTGCTGAAAAATTAACTTACTGATTTGGACAGAATTTTGCTACCAAAAAAGTGCCAAAAATGGTTGCAAGAAGATTTAGCCAAAAACCAGAAGATTTCCCTAATGCCCATAATTTCTCACATGGAGATTCATTTATCTTTTTAAAAACAAGCTGCTTTTTTATTTTAAAAAAATGTGTAGAAAGGCTCCGTTTAAGGGTTTCCCTCCTGCCCTGAACCCCATCTCCCCTGCTATCTCAGCACACAGCTCTGCCAGTGCCCTCACTGCTGCCCTGCATTCCCACAACTCTGCTAAAGTGAACTGGATGGTTGGACCAGGTCCTGTCTGCTCCATGTTGACACCAGAGAAGCCCAGGAACATTTTGTGAGGTCAGATAGGTCTATGGTGTTGAGCTTCCATGTGTCAGGTTACTGTGTCTACCAAGGAAGGAATACCTATGTTGTTTCCAGGGTTTGAATATGGCAGGAAGCAGTAGGGCAGCCCCTAAGTTGTCACCATCTTCTCCAGAATCTCAAATTTCATTAAAGACACAGCCAAGGCCAAGAAGCAGCATAAGTGAAGGTAATTATAAATGCAAAGAATCAGATGCCAGAAAACTTATTTCATCCATGCGACTGACCAGGCACCAATAAGAATAAATCTCAGTTGGTGTCAACTTGGCCAGATTTGGACTAGTGAGCAGTGTTGGATATGGAAGGTGTGATATCCCACAACGAGCCACTCATTTTTTCCTCCTGGACCCTGGCATGGTTGGATTGCCATGCTATCCCCATGAGCAAGAATGATTCTTCCAGGAAATATCCACAGCACTTATCAAAATCTGAGGTGGCCTTTGAGACCAGACACTTTGGGCAGAGCTGATTTCATACCTGAGGAACAAAGACGAAACAGTTGATAGTGGTCGTGCAGACAAAGATGCCTCCAGATGTAAAACCGAAGACCAGGTTGGGCCACGTGTAGAAAAATCGGTTAGCTAGTAAGACAGTCCCAGTAGTGAGGAAAACGAGGTTGACGCTGACAATGAGTGTCAAGGACTGATTCACTGGTGGAGAGCTGACATTATCTGTCAGACCAGCCAGGTAGGTGCCACAGATCAACAGGATGCCCTGGAATCCAAAAACAGAGACAAAGGGCTTTGGTCTGGAGAAGAGATTTTACTGATGTAGAGTGTGGAAAATAACAGCCAGATGCAGACATCTCCCCTCTCTCCCTCCCCACACTGAACCAACAGGGCTCAGATACATTCAGTGAAATCTTAATTAATGCCATTTGATCTATAATGCAGACATCCAGCTTGATGCATCAGCTCAGCAGCAAGGACTCTGCAAGCTGCAGAGCTGATGCAGCTTGCAGAGTCAGAATTAGGGTGCTCTGGCTGAGCTGGGTAGGGAGTGAGAGCAGGAGAGGATCTGTGGGGTGGGGGAGCTTCAGTTCATGACTGAGGGGCAGTAGTAGCATGATGAGTGCAAAGTTGAGGATGAGACCAGCAGGGAAGGCTGGTGACCAGGTCCGAAGTGCAATCAGATCTCTAGAAGAGCCCAAAAGGAAAGCTCACACTGAGGAGGAGTCTCTAGACTAGGTATATGCTAGAGACAGAAATATTAAGTAGAGAGGGAAATCACTGCTATTGCCATCAAAGAGCAACAGGCACAACTCCAGGAGCTGCCTGTAAATTCAGAGAGAAGGGGCAAGTGAGATCAGAAACAGGACATATTGGATGAGAGAGAAGAGGATTTAATGGTGCATGTTTAAGTAGGACTCCAGGAAAGTCTTGGCCTGAAAAGCACCATCATTTCCCCTTCTCTTTGCCACTCCGAGTGAAGTGAGGGTGGGTGGAAGGTGCTAAAGAAGGATTGGTGGCTCTCTGTCCCCGGGACAGGCAGCAGCAACTCCACCTGTACAATGGCTCGCACAGGCTCCAACTTTTATTTTTGCTGGGGGGCGGGGGGGGCCTAAGATGATGGACATGTGGAAACTTTTACACATTTCAGGTGACAGCCCTCTTTCCAAGAGGGGTCAAGGCCCTCGGGCCCCCATATGCTCAGCTCCACTCACTGATGAGCAACAGTCCTGCTCTGTGAGTGAGAGGGGGGCTCAGTCTCCCAAGTCCATGAGCCTCTACTGGGATTGCCAGCAAGGCAGCTCAGTTAGCCTCATTCTGACTGTTTCTGTGAAATGGATGCCTCTTTCAGGGCACTGGAAGGAGGCTCAGGCTTGTTTCACACAGGCCACTGAGCAGATCATTCTCAACCATGAGCCCTTTTGTGCAAATGAGAAAAAAAAAAAAAAAAAGAGAGACTCTAT